TTACTCTCCTTTACATACATCTGGTACTCTCTCTTTATTTTCGCTCTATAAAGTAACATGTGCAGGTAATATATCTTTATTGGGAAAACCATGCACATTACGCTGCAACATCGACTCATCACTGAAACAGAGCTTCTGGAACATTGCAGTAGTTGACTGAAGGGATTTATGAAGAAGACTAAAGTTTGGCCCCCAGCTACGGGCTCTGACCTCTGAGTTCTGGCCACTTTTGTACAGTTCTGGGAGGCTCAGTAGTGTCCCGGCTGAAATATCTCTGTCCAGGATGCCAAACACGATGGGTGGGACGGAAGTGAAGAGCAGGTTGAAGAATATCAACAGCCAGTAGTCGATCATGGCTGTCCCAGAAAAGCCACAGAAAAACTGGTACCAGAAAAGAAGGTTCACATACGCCTGAAACGAGATGAAAACCATGAACCAAGTAAACAAAATCGAATCACATGAGGCACTGTGTAAAAAATGGATGAGAAACAACAGGCTGATGTTTTTTTTTATATATTTACCACGTTCTTGTAGAAGAAGTAGATGACAGTGCCAGCCAGCCTGCTATAGCACCAGTGTCCATGCACTAGCAGCAACTTCTTGAGGTGTTTAAAGTGAGATATTGCAAAGTCACTGGCCATAACTGCCTGTGGAGCAACGACACGGCTTGTTGGGGGTGTAAGGAAATTTACGATGTTATTATTAGCCACTGAAGACAAAGGGCAGAGGAACAGATAATGTCACGTTTTAAGACTTGTCTTATATTGCTAATCAAGCAAACTTAGCTTAGGAATAACATATATGCCCTTGGAGAGAGAAGAGGAGAGACACTGTGGTGACAAACCTGCATCCCCTCTTGGCCGGAAATGCCAACGCCAATATCCGCGGCCTGGATCATACTGACGTCATTAGCGCCGTCACCTGCAGGGGACACGCTCTCAGCTGATGGCATTCACGCAAAAACAAGCCCCCAGTGAGCAAGCCAGAGGGGGAGCCCGTCCTCCAGGGGGCAGCAGAGGAAGCCCTAACCCTAACCAGACGCAAAGGGGGAGCCCGTCCTCCAGGGGGCGGCAGAGGAAGCCCTAACCCTAACCAGACCCAAAGGGGGAGCCCGTCCTCCAGGGGGCAGCAGAGGAAGTCAAATGAGCAAGATAATCTGTGTGAAAATGGAGGCCAGTACCTATGGAAAGGGTCATGACCTTGAGCTTGTCTCGCACCAGCTTGACCACGGCGCTCTTCTGCAGCGGCGTCACACGGCAGCACAGCACCGATCGGCAGTGGCGGCTGAGCTCCAGCAGCCTGAGCTGCAGGCCGGCCTCGAAGAGCAGGCCCAACGTGTGGCCTTCCAGCACCAGGCCGAAGGTGGGGCCCCGGAGCCCGCGGGGGCTGCTCTGCCACGGGGGCTGCACACCATACCTCTTCACCTCCTCCAGGGTACAGTCCAAAAACGAATTGCATTCATCCTGTGGAAGAACGGACCACAGCACTACTGAGTCAGGCTGGGTGGCAGGTTTGTCCAAACTGTCACACACAAAGTTGCCTGTTACACTGGATATAATGAACATTATTCTACTTGTTATGGAACTATAATAAGGCATTTTGCAGGCATTTCTTATGCACCATGTGACTGTGAGCTTAACTACAATCTGAATGACTTTTTGGCCTTCTCAAAAAATAAAAATAAAATGCTAAAAATACTCAACGATGATTAGCTGAGACCTAGTGTGACAGTGTAACAGTTACAAGGAGCACTTCAGCACGAAAGATGGATTATGAAAGACCTGAGATGGGCCACCTGGGCTGGAATTATTTAGATTATTTATCTATAAATTTATTTATTTATATGTCCATTTATTTATTTAAACATTAATGACTTGCTTCTTTCTATGCAAATACAACAAAGTACATAAGCTATTCTACTGATCCGCTCGACACACTTTCACGAGTGACTAATAGATCAGATGGATCACTACTGATTCTATTTTTATTTTTTCTCTGTGTGCTTATTTTAATTCCTTTTTCTTAAATGTCAGTAAAGCACCATGTAAACCCTGAGGTTAAAACAGTGCTATATAAATAAAGATAGAGTGATTGTTTGATTTTCCTACAAGATACATTTGAGCAGCGCCTCAGACATTTATCTATCCCAAGGACCTTCAGAGCTTAAATTCCCAAAGCGTGTGTGTCCCCAGTGTCAGACAAACACGCTGTCATTTCTGCGAGTGATACCGTACCAGGCTGGCTGTGCTGAGCGTGAACACCACATCGCTCTGGTCCAGCAGTCTGCAGGAGTAGGCTATGTTCACAGCCGTCAGCACCCACACCTGAATCCCTGCCTTCCGTAGTGATGCGATAGTTGCTGGGACATCCTCCTGTAGCCGGTCCTCAATCCCAGTGGCTCCTAAGCGAATGCATCATTTGAGACGAAAAATACAGGGCTCATTATGTTCAGTAGCTGCAGGATGTTTGAAAATGAAGATGGAGTCAAAATACTTGTACTGCGCCAATTACAACTTTCGTAATACAATTGGTGCACATGAATAGCAACACTGAACAGCTGTTTTCAGGCACAATTAAGCACACCTTCAGCCATGGGAATGAGGTGTATAAAATGACACACAAGATAACCAGAGGATAATGTTCCTACAGATGTCCTCTATGGTTTTCATGGCACCAGAAGATTCTCGTCTGATCAGAAGCCTTAAAACTTTGTACCTAAACCTGCTCTTAAGAAGCAACAGCATCATTTTAAAGACAGACCCCAGGGTATTTAAAACAAATAAATCACAAGGTCAAATTCTATATTATCTCATAAATAAAAGCTTATCGAGACTCTAAACCATAAATCACAAATGATAGCTATTATTATAAATTAACTGCTTTTTTCTCACAAGGACAAAGAAGGTTTTGCTGGCAGTCTGAAAGCAAGGTAAACTGCCGTAATACCTTAAATAAAGTATGATGTTTAAAGGGTGCATCACGGTACAATACAAAATGTGTAACTCTTACACGCTCCGACAATAAGTCACCTGTGTCTTTGGGGACAATTTGACCCCAGGGGAGATGTGAGAGGCAACTATGAAAATATATGTTATTTCCTGCACATATTGAAGATGTTTCTTACCTAAAAGAGTCAGGTTAGTCTCTAAATGACTTGCAGTTTCCATGAGCAGCTCTTCTCTGTTGTCAATGGCCGACTCCGCCTCCTGTCTCACGGCCAACCAGTCAGTATAGGCCTGCAAGCTCATTACCTGGAAGGGAGGTGATGGAATCATAAGCACCATACAGAAAGTCAGGAGGATAAATGAATTTCCTTTCCAGGTCTCAAATCACAAAGGTTTCAGGCCCAAGCCATGGAAAGCTCCTGCTGCTAGGTTGTGGAGAAGGGTATTTCTGAGCAGGAAATTCAGTAATCTAGTAAGATTAAAATGTATATCCTGCTGTTTAAATGGATTGCAATCATGCTAAGCATGACAAAGCAGTTTCTAAGCAACTAAACAGATAAGAAGCCACCAAGAAGCAGCCATTACACTGTCACCCAAACCCAAAATTTACATTATACATCTTATTGTATACTTGCTATTAATATTTACCTTCTTAGCAATACACAGAGTGCGTAATCCATCTTTGGCATACAAGTGAAGGTGTCTCTGTGTCTTAGCAGCGATCCTTTTTCTTTTATTCTCCTCTGGTTGGTTTTCTAGGAAAATGAAAGGATTTGGCTATTTTTATTTGGCACCTTCATTTCAGTGGAAATAGCCGGAGTAGAGTAGCTGTCGCTAATGTGACCGAAGGGGAGAGAAGGATATCCAGGCCCGAGCACCTGTCCAGTGTGGGTGTCATCCTCCCTGCATTCATCTGCCTGCTCTAATGCTACGAGCTGCCCAGCAGAATCCGTGTACCTACACGACTACACGGCTAAGAAAAAGAACAGATGAAAAAAAGTCTAATTTTCTTTCACTGGAAACTTTCTTCAGAGGCATGCATTTTGGTGGAGACTGCAGCGAGAGTGTCAATGTGTTATTTTTGGAATCCACAAGAGGTAGAGCCACAGACACGAGAGAAATGGAACACGTGCCTTTAGCTCCTAACAGTCAGAAGACATGATCATGAAACCAGTCAATTCAGAGCTGCCTCTAAATGAGCTATTCTAAACACAAGCAGTGAGAAAGAGCACAGTGATCTGTAAAGACTCAATTCACAGTATAAAAGTTCAATAGCAATATTAAAGACAGCTTTTCCCTGCCAGGTGGCTTTTATCATACTCTTAAGTCATCTACTCTTACTTTGTTGGCAGAATTAACTTGATGTATTCTACTTTTAAATTTATCCACTGGGGAGAATTTTTCGAGACATATACGCATCATTTCCAAAACAAGAAATATAAACGTCACATGGTGTCACGTCAGAAAACATGCCTGCATCAACAGTGCTGGCAAAACGAATTCCTTTGGGGTTTGAGAATAGTCCTGGTGTCCAGAGGATACAAATGGGTCGTCAGCATTAAAATATGTACATTTTTCAACAGAAACAAAGGCCTCAAAGACGTTAACGAATTGCTAGTGGAACAGAGAATGGGAAGTAGGACCTGAAGTTCCTGGTGTTTCTCCTACCTGCTGATTTAGCCAGACGCTCCATGATGGCCGAGTCAGCCCCCTTGGTGTAGATGATGACCTCATTGGTCATCGGATGACGCACAACCACCGACATCCGCTTGCGTACGGAGTTGAAGGCCAGAGTGCCCAGTACCTCGAAGGTGAGCAAGGATCCCTGGGGAAGCCTAACGGTCACATGGTCAGGAGTGCGCCCCAGCAGGGTGTAGCCATAGGCTCTGGCGGCATGGACCAGCGCGGCCTCGTCGGGGCTCTCTGCCTCGTAGCACAGTCCGTCCGAGTTGGGATTGGCGCTTGTTTCCGTGGGCACGTCCTCCGTCGACGGAAGATCTGCTTCACTGTCCTCCAGACTGGTGTTCAGGGAGCCGCTGTCCGTGACTCCTCCCCTGTCCACTTCGTCTCCCGCCGGAACAGAGGCTGGCGGGCCGGCTGGGCTGGCTGGGCTGGCCGGGGAGGTGGGGCCGCTCTTCTCGGGGATGGAGTGCAGCGAGGCGATGACGTGGCTCAGAGAACCGAGCCTTTTCAGCAGGGTCTGAATGTGACCCAGGGACTTCAGCGTGGAAGAGTTCAAGGGGCCTGTCACCTGGAAACCCAGCCCACATCATCACAACCAATCAGGGAGAATCGCCGTTCAAAGACACAGAATCACAAACAGAACCAAGAGAAACCTGAACATGGGCCAAAAACATTACACTCAGTGGAGAGGATGGACCTGGTACCTGGGTAATCGAAACCGGAGGCCGTTTCACAGCCGGCCATGAATCTCACCTTAGTAAGGACTTCATCTGTGAATGACCTTCTATCACATTTATCCTTGTCAGGAGGAATGATTTTACCTTTTTGTGATGAAACTATTTTGTTTTTTCAGCATTCAAACATACATTAGAATCGACAAAAGATGCCCAGAGTGAGCGATACGAGCAAGCAAGCCTTCCCAGAGACAGGAGTGAGAGAGCGAGCGGGCCCAGAGACAGGGGTGAGAGAGCGAGCCTGCCCAGAGACAGGAGTGAGAGATCGAGCGGGCCCAGAGACAGGAGTGAGAGAGCGAGCCTGCCCAGAGACAGGAGTGAGAGATCGAGCGGGCCCAGAGACAAGAGTGAGAGAGCGAGCCTGCCCAGAGACAGGAGTGAGAGAGAGAGCGGGTCCAGAGACAGGGGTGAGAGAGCGAGCGGGCCCAGAGACAGGAGTGAGCGGGCCTAGAGACAGGAGTGAGCGAGTGGGTCCAGAGACAGGAGTGAGCGAGTGGGTCCAGAGACAGGAGTGAGCGAGTGGGCCCAGAGACAGGAGTGAGCGGGCCTAGAGACAGGAGTGAGCGAGTGGGCCCAGAGACAGGAGTGAGCGAGTGGGCCCAGAGAGAGAGGCACGCAGGCCTCACTCACTTCTCAGTAGCATTTCAAACATGACCTGGAAAGACCGTCTGCTGGGACGTGATCTGAAGGCTAAGCAGTGTGAGCACCAGCCCAGACTGATGCGAGATGAATAAAAAGACAGAACTTGAAAGCGTGTCGTGGAAAAAACATAACACATATCAGAATTCAACCAGGGCACTTTTACACTTTCTCAAAATTCCAAATGAAACTGCAGTCCGAAAGGACACCTTTAGGTGTTCCTTAATTAGGCCAGTGTGTCCCAAGCTGGTCTTCGGGGGCCAGCAGACACTCCATGTTTTTACTCCTCTCCAGCTCCCAGTAGGCAGCAAAAATGTGGACTGTCTGACAGGGAGCTGGGAGGGAGCAAAAACATGGACCATCTGTGGGTCCCCAAGGACCGGACTGGGAAACACTGATTGAGGCATTAGGGGAGTCTGCAGGTGCCCTCCTATCTATGCCAGTACTGTGCATTGACTGAAAGGAAGCACAGATATGGAGTCATTTAGCACAGAGAATGTCTGCTGTGCTCATAGATCACGGGGGTTTAACTGCTGGCAGAATTTCACCTCTGCAGAATCTGCTATATATAATTGGTACCATGACATCACTAGCAGTATATATAATTTAGATTAAATAGTGCATGAAACAGAGCACTTAACTGAGCATAAAACTTAAATAATACATTTCTGAACTACTGAGTGTGATCTTACAATATCATATTTATAAGAAGTGGGTCATTTCAATTACAAGGATTTTTAAAAATTGTGGAACGATAATCATTACTGCAACACGAACATAATATATTCAGAACCATGTTTAGTGTTAAAGTACAAAAGCTTTAAACAACATTAAACCAGCAATTTATCTGATTTGCAGATTAACACACTTGTGTAATATTTCATAATGAATATGATTATTTTATTGTGATTAATTAAGTGACATAGTTTCTACTGAATTAAAAATGACTCAATTTAAATAAATAATTAGGGGCCACATCACTTGTGCCCACTGTTATATGTCTACCAAAGACATAAATAAATCATGGATAAAAGGAAGAGGTTATGGAACTGGGTTTATATACATAGATGCATCCGCAGATCAGGGGTGCAGTTTAATAGTGGTCCTGTCGCTGCCCCACACGCAGCCCAGATTATCGCTCTGACCTCTTTATGTAAATTACATTTTTACACCGCACATTTTAAGACAGATGATCTAAGAAACTGGACACATGACCAGGCATGACCCTTGCAAAAAAGAAACTGCATAAAGTTAAATTTTGGATTATTTAGAAAATGTTGAGACTTTTGACACATGAAAGAGTTTCACTGCACCTCTGCATCGTACGGGAGTCCATAGAGGACATCCCTCATAACCTTTTTCTGTCTTGTTATGTTGAGATTATAACTTATTTTTCTTGTGATCTCAGCTTAGCCAAAGATGTTTTCTCGAGATCACAGTTATTTTCTTGAGATCACAAAATAACAGAAGCTGTCATCTTTGGAAAATAAAAGTTGTAATTAGACACACAAACAGCATTCGACTAAAGTGCGAGGGATGCCACAAAAAGCTCCACGGTTACGGCTATTCAATCGGCACATATTTTATTGCATTGCCACTGAAGATCTATAATTCCCTTCCATGTGCTACATATAAGGGGGGGGGGATTCTCCCCTGTAGTGCAAAATGAATTTCAAGCCCAGAATGCATGTCCTCTATGGGCTTCTGTAGCATTGAGATGTAGGGAATTATTATGTTTCAAAACAGCAGTAAAACTGCATCTCACGCAATTATGCTTAAACTTTGCAATTATTCCATGTGCGTGTTGAACCGTGAGGGATATCTTTACGGATCATGGATCGACTACAATTCGTTACATCACTGGCAAATTTGCATTACAAATCCATTCTGTAGTACTATAGTTCTATAGTACTTCTTAGAAATGTTTGAAATTTTCAGATTCCGAGTTTTTGCAATGCATCAATACATTGTGATGTGTGATACTACTAATAATATATAGAATATGCCCTTTTCCCCTTTATATATTCCATGCATCGGCATGGAATATATAAAATATTCCAGTCGGACGGTGACTACACCAGCTTGGTTTGGTCATACTCTCGGCCCGGCTAGTAAGCAGGACCGCGTCAGCAAACATACGGGTCAGACGCGGCTTGCATACTTTGCAATGGAAAATCACCAGTTTGCGGTACGGCTCAGTTCTTGTTGACGGTGGAAAGGCGCCAGTTGACAAGACACTATTTATGTTGCGTTATTTTTATTGATTTCCGTCATAGCTGAATAGCTACAGTTATTCTAGGTGATGAGTGGAGGTTGGGGCAGAGCCGCTGCGGGGATGCCTACCCTCTGCCTCGGGTGCATTGCCGTGGACACCACCACAGTGTTGCAGACGGCCAGCGCCAGGAAGAAGTCCATGTAGCAGGCGCCGCCGCCGATGCGACTCACGCGGCCCCACGCCTCCATCTGACCGGCCTCGTCACCGGTGATCCGCTGCAGCCTCCAGTCCGGCGCCACGTCGGTCTCCTGCGTGACGGGTTCACAGTGCGGTCACAGACGTGTGGAGCGAGTTCTGCTGAAATGAGCCTGGCTCTCGAAGCGGGAGGACGCCAGCTTCATTTCGGGACACGCAATCTGTTTCGCTTGGCATGTCTTTACAGCTATTAGCTCCATTAATTAAGCCAGTGCATGTCTTCTACATTTCTACAGCAACCGCTCGTCATGCCAGCTAATGCCAGTTAGACGCTACGCAGACCACAAAATAGGGGTACAGTCCAGAACAGTTTTCTAGGAAGTCGCATTATACATATTAAACTGAGAGTGCCCACCCAAAACAGCAAGATTACGTCACTTGTATACGCTAGAATGGGACTATATAATCCCCACAGATAGCCATCATTTTGTATTTGACATTCATATAACGATAATAAAATGCTATTATGGATGACATGGAACAGTATTCTCTTTGTTGATTCACTGTAATGGTTTTATAAAGCATTACTGAGTGTGACCTCAGCTCTGGCTCTTTGGTGAATTAGCTAATAAGGAGGCATGATCACATGATCACCAGCTTTGAGAAATAAGTAACTCCGATGGATATGCAGGTGAACATAACAGTGATTCTCCAGGAAATGTAGGAGGTCACTGTTTGAACAGATGATTTCCCTTCAGTCATACTGTAGAAAAGAAGCACTTATGGACAGATCCGGCTTCTCAGCAAGGGCAGGAGACGGCAGCCAGCCAAAAGAAACCCACTGACTTGTTATTGTAGTAACTCGTGTCTCAATGGCATCAGGTGACTTGGATGTGCACGCACGCTGAAAATTCTGCAACCACCATCCACGGTCAATTTGCCACAGTGTGCCCATATGCTCACGCAAGGAAAAATAGTACCACGGATGTGGAGAGACCCAGCCCATATGGAGAGCATGCTGGGAGCATGTGGTACCAGGGCCCCGTCAGGAAGCCGGACCCTGCATGACCACGGTCAAATTTGGGTCTTGCGGAGCAGACGAGAGGAAGAGCAGAGGAGATTAGCGGTTAGTCACCTGGCTAAGTGCGAAGGGGCTCTGCAGCGCCCCAGGGAGACTCGGGCTCGCTTGCCAGATGTCGAGAGCATCACGCTCCGCCTGCAGGGATGCCTGAATCTCTATTCCTGTCTCACCCAGAAGTCTGTCTGCCTCACACCACATACTAAAAAAAGCCCTCTGACTGCCTTAGAGAGCTCCAGCAGGGTATGAGCTAAGTCATACTCTGAGTGTGACCCGGAATTTGGCAGAGAAGAACCATAATTGGTGCTTTCAAGGAGAAGGAGGAGTCGCATTAGCGCCCCCTAGGGACACGTTGGGTGCCAGCAAGCTGTCGATCGCGTCTATTGAGAAAGAGTGTTCGGCTCTACTGCACGGTGCAACGTGATGCAGAGTTGGGAGAAATGTGCGTCTGGGTGAGAAGGTGCTCTCTGACCTCACGGTTTCTGGGGATGGCTTACAGCTGCAGTGTTGTACAAGGTCCCCAGTGGTGGGCTGCTGCATGGACAGAGGGGCTTTTTACCGGTAACAGTAACTCATCTCTCTTTGTTCGGGTGTCAATGAGCGAATAATCACTGCTTCGGTTTGCAAGTTGAAAGTGCTCTCATAAACACACTTCATTAAAGCTAGACCATTAATATCTATGCAGTTCAACCTTTAAACCTCTAATGTAATAATAATGTAGTTCACAGGAGCATCCTTTTCAGGAAGGATGGAAGGTCTCCCTAGAAGAAGAGGCCCACCTACACCAAAGCATGCATATTTTACCTGGCAAAGAAGATGGAATATGTAAAAAAATCCCACCTAAAGCTCCTGTGTAATGGACCCTAAGCAATCCAGAGATGACCCACCCAGACTTACCCTGACAGCACTGCTCCGGCCCACCACACCAGGACCAGGACACACAACTCCTCCCACTGCCCGCCCCCAAGCCCGGGCGGCGATACCCATACCGACTTCCCCAGTTGTCCCCCTGAGACGGTAGGCCTGGCCCTGCTCTGTATTAACATCCCTCTGTCTCAAGCACTAGAGGGACACTGCATCTCCTGCCCAAAGCGGCTCACTGTACCTCCTGCCCAAAGCGATGCACTGCACCTCCTGGCCAAAGAGGTACACTGCACCTCCTGCCCAAAGTGGCTCACTGTACCTCCTGCCAAAAACAGGCACACTGTACCTCCAGCTCAAAGAGGCTCCCTGCACCTCCTGCCCAGAGAGGCTCACTGCATCTCCTGCCCAAAGAGATTCACTGTACCTCCTGCCCAAAGAGAAGCACTGCACCTCCTGCCCAGAGAGAAGCACTGCACATCCTGCTCAAAGTGAGCACACTGCACCTCCTGCCCTAAGAGCCTCACTGCACCTTCTGCCCGGAAAGGCTCACTGCACCTCCTGCCCTAAGAGGTGCACTGCACCTCCTCCACAAAGAGGCCCTTCTGTACCTCTTGCACTGGCCGTGACAGTGACTCACCAGGGGGCTGCTGAAGGCCACATCACTGTGGGGGCTGAGCGTGACCTCGGCCTGGCCACGCACGCCAATGCGAGCCCGGGCACTGTTACAGCGCCTGAGAGCAGCGGCGCTTTTCCCCTTCAAGAATTGGAGCCGTGAAGGAACTTTCTTCTGCGGGAAAGCGGGATCCTCCTCATCCGATTCAGCCTCGTCGAGGGCAGCCAGGCGTAGTGCTGTTAGCGGACAGCAACATTCATGGACATGGCGTGTTACGGCACATTTGGAGGACAATGACTTCCGCGATGCATTCTGCAGTATCATTTTACTCTGGAGGTACTATATAGTACAGTTTTCCCCAACCCAGTCCTTGGGGACCCACAGATAGTCCACGTTTTTGCTCTCTCCAAGCTCCCTGCGTACCAGGAGCAAACCATGGACCATCTGTGGGTCTCCGAGGACCATACTGGGAAACACTGATGTAAAGTGTCTTTCTTTAGGGCATCCGATCATGCAGAGTGATGGAGGCTCACCATTTTCTTTGTGGCAGTACTCTGTCCCCATGATACTACATCGGCGGAATACCATCTTGTTCTCGGTAAGAGTGCCCGTCTTGTCCGAAAAGACGTACTGGATCTGCCCGAGGTCCTCTGTGATGTTGAGGGCCCTGCACTGCACGCGGCTGTCTGTCTCCTCGTCGTACAGGTCGACATCATTAGTGATGAAGAAGATCTGCCCCACTTTGATCAGCTCGATGCTCACATAGAGCGAGATGGGAATCAACACCTGTTAAAGCGGGATACGGCGGCTGGTTTCAGACACATTACCGTTTTAGGACCTGGTGCTGGAGAGATATGCCAAGTTACACTTAGACACACGTAAAGTCTACCTGCAGGAGGATGATCATGGTGAAGAACATGTAAAACCCCGACAAGGATGGAGGAATGTACACGTTGCTGCTGTCCGGGGGCACAAACGGGGGGGTGCTGGGAAATGTTCCCAGCCAGAAGTACTGGCCTATGTGGAGAGAGGCAGAGCGGCTGTGTTCTTTCACACATTCATTTTCTCTTCACTCTCTACTCGATCATGGGTTTTCATTTACGGTCTGTCACGTTACCGAGGGCTCCGATAAGACACATGATGAAGAGGATCCCCACACAGAAGAGCACGTCAGTGTTCATCTTCCTCTCCAGCTTGCTGCGCTTGTATCTCGGCCCCTTGTTGTTGAGCATGGCCTTTGTCTCGTGTCCTACAACAGATACATTAATTTGCTTAATCAGCAAAGCCTACTGTCACTGTTTGATGACAAATAATATAGAAACCAAGAGGAAGAAGTTCTCTGGTGCTCTTAAAACCAACATGATTATTTTCAGCTCATACACCGATAAACATTCTAAGCCAGCACTTTCCCAAATTACCTGCTGAGGATTATGAACATATAGCATTGATAAATCAAAGCAAATGAAGGTTTCTAGGAAGAGCAAGGCATGCAGCCTCAGTGAGATTATAAGGAAAAGGATGGTCTGTTATCTGTGTCAGGCTCTGAACTGAACAGTCAGACACACCTTTAACTTCCACTGAGATACTGAGAATGACTTTTAATCAATCATATCTTGCAACACTCATTTAAAGGTGTGGAGGGCTGCAGTGAACAGAGACAGGGAGGAGCAGAGGCGGAGGTCAGAGGCAGAGACATGAGGCAGAGGCCATAGGAGGAGACCTGAGGCAGTAGTCAGAGGAGGAGGCCTGAGGCAGAGGCCTGAGGTGGAAGCCAACGGAGGAGGCCTGAGGTGGAAGCCAAAGGAGGAGGCCTGAGGCAGAGACCTGAGGTAGAAGCCAGAGGAGGAGGTCTGAGGCAGAGACCTGAGGCAGAAGCCAGAGGTGGAGGCCTGAGGCAGAAACCTGAGGAGGAGGCCTGAGGTGGAAGCCTGAGGCGGTAGCAGAGGGAGTACCTGCGTACACCACGATGCCGGCGGCGCTGTCAGTGTTCCTCATGGTGCAGCCCCGCAGCAGCAGACTTTCTCTGCCAAAGCCGATCTTCTTCTTCTCTGGCATGGCTCTGAAATGTTAAGCATCCATCCGTCCCAACGTGTTATTGTTAAATACCAGTCATTTCAGTTATCATTCCTGCTACGGTATCATTCTTTTGTTGCAAGTTTTGCAGTTTCCCTTTACGGCTGGCTAATGGATGAGCTGCTGGCTGCGTAAATCCTTAATAGACTGTGCTGTCAGATGCAGATGAGCTTTTTGATAATGGCTAACGAAGTGAGGCTGTTATGGGGGAAACACAAAGTGTGTTCATGATGGGGGCTTTGGGTAGAGGGCAGATTCTGCAAGTCCAGCCAGCTGATGAACGCTAATGAGCCTTCAGAACGGACAGCTCTTCTTCTCACTAACCGCAAGCAGAAGGCCAAGGGCTCTGGCACCTTTGCTTTGGTGTAAGTCAAATTTCCTATCATCAGTCCTGTCATTATAACTGCCGAGACAAAAAACTCTTTATCCAATTCTAATTTATTCAGCTGTAATTGCACCCGAGTTCATAGCTTAATGTGTATGACACCCACCACATGATGCAAAAACTGATGGCATAAACCAAAGCAAGTCAAACTGAGTGGACCTCTTGGCTATAACCTCATCAGCCCAGCATGAGCACTTGAGCACGCAGAGCCACACAGCAAAGCACATTTGTCCAGGACTGACAAATAATTTATCTGAAGGTTGTTTAGCACTAGGGGGTCATGATGTCCGGACCCATTCTGAGAAAGGCTCCGCCGACCCCCAATACAGGACCAACATAAGATCAATGCATCAACAAATGGGTTGGGACGTTGGAGTACAGCAGTGGGTTGCACCAGCTTAGCGTAAGCTCGGTCGTATGGTCGGGTGTAAAGTGTACCTTAAATCACACGTTAAAACTAGCTAGTTTGAAACTAGCTCTACATCTTTTGTCGATTACACTACTGCTACCTCAGTTACATCGTAGTTAATAGCTACCACATAAAAATATTGTTGCACAGAATGATGTTTTCCCTGTGGACAACCAATCACTATCATTATCTGATATTACTGGAACTAGCTCGCTGTTCCACATGTTTGTCGAGCTTGGGTTATATGTAGCTACCGGATTGTTTTCTCTGTATTTTTAAGAAGTATTTAAAACAGAGCTGTAATGAAACCTGTAATGTGGTAGGTGAGGGGTGACGGAAGAAGTGCGTTCCTTAGGTAGCTTTCTTTGGCTCGTTTTATGGTATTTCAGTCACGGATCATGGTTGAGTTTCCCGAAGCCTTCTTAACGCTACGTCGTTCGTTATTTCTATCTTTTAACACAGAACTTAAGAACGACGTAGCGTTAAGAACGCTTCGGGAAACTCACCCCAGATCATTTTTCTGAAGAAAGAGAAATATAAGATTGCTTTCCATGTATTACTTAAAGAACTGAAAGAAAACTCAAAGCGAGGAACTTTTAACATGCCCTATTCATGTCAAAACACAACTGCTTTGTCTATATTTTTTAACTGGAGGACATAGAGTACATCATTGTCAAATTTTTTCTCTTATTTCTCTCATGATCTCACCATAGCCAAAGTTGTTTTCTCAAGATCATAAAATAAGTTTGCTAAAAAAGGAGAAACCCCCCAAAAAAGGAGAAACCCAGTTTGAGAGTACCAAGATGAATAATTGCCCTCTATAAAGAGATGGAGCAGCCCAAAAGAGCCAGACCACAGCAGTGCACTGCCCTGTCCATCAGCCACTATAGTAGGAAACCAAGGACAACCCTCTGATAAACAGACAGCTGTAATAGGGCCTTTTCAAATACCTGCCCCTTTGGGAACTGTGCAAGAACGGCTTTGGTGATGTGATATGATGTGATGTGGGATATGATAAATTGTTATACATCAGGATCAGTTATTCCCCCATACAGATGTATACTTGAGGACTCTAAAGTCATAACCAGCCTTTCTTCACTGGTCAGCATCTCAGGTGAACACAGCCTACCATTACTCACTCAAGTGGTACCTTAGAGTCAATGTATTAACTAATGAATGTAGCAAAAGCCTCATTAGCCATGTTTCCAATTTAAGTATCTTACCACAATCATATATTCATATATTCATAAAGATGCAATGCTGTATTTGTGAGCATAAATTAGAGGGTTATGATCTTTTAATTACACTGGTGTCTTCATCTTGGGGCAGAATAAAAACAGGAAGAGGTTGACAGAAGTCCTGTTTACACACCAATCTGGTGGCACGTGTGTGATAAGCTCCCTTAACAGAAGCAAAGCGCAGTGCCCGGCGGAGGTGAGGTAGACAGCTTACAGGTATCCTTTAAAGAAACAGAAGCAAAGCGCAGTGCCCGGCGGAGGTGAGGTAGACAGCTTACAGGTATCCTTTAAAGTGTGTCAGGTTCTTGTTGGGCTTCTCACAGACCACGGTGCCGCCGAAATGCTCTGGCTGAAATGAGCAATTCTGAAAAACAGACAAATGAATGCCTTTAATAATACAATTCATATTTTCAGATGATAAGTTTGGTCAACATGTGTGTCTGAATGACAGTACTGCTACTGTATACAGCAGGGTTATTCAACTCACGGTCCTCAAGGTCCGAGCACTGCTGGTTTTCCAGCCTTCCTTTACCTGTCAGTCAGGTGTGAAGCCTCTGACCAATCAGAATCAGTAATTATTAAACAACTACCTGGGGGAACTGAAAACATGGCCTGGATTTGGAATCGAGGTCCAGAGTTGAAGAACCCTGGTATACAGCTAATTCCTGTTCTGTTTCAGTTATTGGTATAACATCCACTGATCCTGTGGTCAATCACCATTGACTTCTGATTCAGTTATTTCTATAGGAGCCTGGAGCCAGTGGCAGGAAGCATACAGTGGGTGACGTGGTCTGTCACAGCAGACGTACGTGGAGAAAAGCAGAAAGTCTGGGAAGCTGCTCCAGCAGACTGTAGGTCTCTGCAGCGCAGTGCAGACCAGGCATGTGCAAACTCCATGGACATGAACATCAGCAAATAAAGCGCAATATTATCATGGCTCAAAGTAATGTTTACAGACAGTTTAGCCCGTTGCTAAGTGACTGCTAAGTTATATTCTTAAGGAATAAATCAGTGAACATAACTCGCTTAAGAACAGAATTAAAAATTGCCATAGTTACTGGCTAAAAATATAATTCCTTCAACACTAGGATATAGACGTGTCAAGAAAATTGTGAGAGCAACTAAATATCCACCGCGAGGAGAGAGAGATAAAAACAAAACCCGAAAGAAACCGAAGCAAGTGGACTTCACTCATTCGAATGACCGAGCATTTAATTTGCCAAATGCTGTCAAGTCCTGCATCTAGCAAAGGTTAAATGCTGCTGTGATATAGTGGAGCTTGCAGCAGACCACACCCGAGGCAGACACCTCACCACACGCATGGTATGCTGACATTCAAGTAGCGCCCTTCAAAGCCCCACCGATCCTGACATATTGGCAGTACAGGAATGCTGAGATGCCAGTGACTGTGGACGGCATCTTACATGGCGCATAGCATGCAAAGATTGGAGCGATACAAGGATTCATCCAGCAACCGGTTAGACCTGCAGCGAGGAGCAATCGTTCGTCACTTTCACAAAGTTTCCACTGGACCTATTCAATAATTGTATGGATTTGCATGGAAGCAGTTTGATGACCAATCCGATAATCATCACTGACACACACTGTTTACACAACATCCATGATGAGTCAGCAAAAAAAATAAATGTCTGTGCTAAAAGTAGTGCAGATCTTTGCTCATGGGGTGTGTGTGTGTTTGTTGTTCAAACTCGGGCCCTGATTGCTACAGTGATGTAAAGTCAGTCACCCTAATGTTTTTTGAGGCACTAATTAAGAGCTGCATGGGTGGTCATCCCAAGGCTCATCCCATGTGGAAAAAACAGCATGATTCATGTAGGGACATCAAGCATTTTTTGCATTGCAATTACATACGACCACGCATGATGTTTTTGATGTGTTGTAATGCTGCAGGTCAGCATTTTTTCTTATATGATTTTGGCCACATTCATACCAAAAACACACCTGACATGTTTGGCACTCAAGGGAAAAGCCTATATGAAAAATATACAATTTTTATATGAATTTTACGTTTTACCATAGATGATATCATATGGTTTTAGTAGGAAATATTTGTTTATGGTTTTTTAATAAAGTTTGATATCGCTTTTGTATTATTCTAATGAAAGACATGTATGATCTCCCCACATTCAGCTGGTTCAACTAAACATGAGAAAATTCAATGAAATCAACTCAGCTGTGTTATATTCTCAGAACACAAAGTGAATGCATCAGCTGAAAAGACTCTTTCCTTTTCAAAATACGCATACTAGTTGTGAAGAACTATACTCATGGGATGGACCCGCGAGCCCAGTGTCAGTCTGTCCGAACGCGGCGGCGTGATGAAATGCTCACCGAGGCAGCAAAGCCGCGTACCACCTGCCTCTGCTTCAGGTTGGTCTCCCCGTCCAGGTTAGCGGTCTCCATGTGGCAGACCCCATTGGGGTCTGACGTGTTGAGGAGCAGGATGTCTGCCGGAATCACCTCGTTACAAACCACCTTCACGAAGTCTCCAACTCGCACGTCCTTCCAGCATTTCAGCACAAAGTCCTGCTGCTTCCTGAAGGAAGAGAAGTTTACACGCTTCAGGAGACGCGTTCTGAGCCCCTCTAATCACACCCGCTCTGCATTGGTGTGTCACCATGGCTCATCCTTTGCTTCCTTCTGCATGCTTGCAGTTATTTTGCAGAGATCAAGGAAAGGCTAAGAACACTTAAAGGACAGCGAGGTGCTTTGTGCTTTGAAATGGTTGTGTAACCCTTTACAGTTGACTGTGATGTGAGTATAGGTCATGATGTACTGGCAGAACATACACTATATGGACAAAAGTATTGGGAGACTTGACCATTACACCTACAGGAACTTCTATGACATCCTATTCTAAACCCATAGACATCAGTATGGAGTCGGTCCCCCCTTTGCAGCTATAACAGCTGCCACTGCTCTGGGGAGGCTTTCCTCAAGATTTTGGTGTGTGACGGTGGGAATTTTTGCCCATTCATCCAGAAGAACATTTGTGAGGTCAGGCACTGATGTTGGACACGAAGGCCTGGCTTCCAATCTCCATTCTAGTTCATCCCAAAGGTGTTTGATGGGGTTGAGGTCAGGGCTCTGTGTGGGCCAGTCAAGTTCTTCCACAGCAAACTCACCCAACCATGTCTTTATGGACCATGCACAGTGAACAGAAAGGGCTGTCTTCCCAAAACTGCTCCCACAAAGTAGCATAGAATTGTCCAAAATGTCTTGGTATGCTGAAGCATTAAGAGTTCCCTTCTCTGGAACTAAGGGGCCCAGCCCAACCCCTGAAAAACACCCCCATACCATTATCTCTCCTCCACCAAACCTTACAGATGGCACGATGTAGTCAGGCAGGTAACATTTTCCTGGCTCCCGCTAAACCCAGACTCATTAGACTGTCAGACAGAGAAGCATGATTTGTCACTCAACAGAACATTTCCACCGCTCCAGAGCCCAGTGCCGGCAAGCTTCACACCACTCCATCTGACACTTGGCATTATGCTTGGTGATGTGAGGCTTACATGCAACTGCTTGGCCATGGAAGCCCATTCCATGAAGCTCCAGGAAGCTCCAGGCTCATGGGGCTAATGCCAGAGGAAGCTCTGCAGTTATTGAGTCAACAGAGCGTTGGCGACTTTTACACACTATGCACCTCAATAGTCGGCGACCTCACTCTGTAAACATAGTCTGCCACTTCATGGTCGAATTTCTGTTGTTCCTATACATTTCCACTTTGCAATAATACCGCTTATAATTCACTGTGGCATATCTAGCAGGGAATAAATTTCACAAACTGATTTATTACAAAGGTGGCTTCCCATGACAGCACCACACTTGAATCCACTGAGATCTTCAGAAGAAGTCATTCTTTCACAAATGTTTGTCAACCTGACTGCATGGCTAGGTGCTTGGTTTTATATACCAGTGGCAATGGGTCAGAATGAAACACCTGAATTCAATGATTAATTTAAGAGGTGTGTCCCAGTACTTTTGCCCATATAGTGTAGCTGCCAGTGCTGGGGCAGGATGGATTGGGGAGGGCCTCTCGTGACACAGAATGATAAAGTAGCTGGTCTTTGATAGGCTGTCCTACTCTAACTCTGTGACCAGCAGTGTTGATAGGAAATTGATAGTGTTGATAGGAAAGAACACCCACAGCTCTGTCAATGGCCGTGCACATGCATTGCTGTTAGCCCATTCAGCATGGTATTTGAAGGAGTATGTGTTAGAGTACAGTGTGAATACTGCTGGGAGAGTCCAATGTGAGTACTGCTGATAGAGTCCAATGTGAGTAGTGCTGGGAGAGTCCAATGTGAGTACTGCTGGGAGAGTCCAATGTGAATACTGCTGGGAGAGTCCAATGTGAATACTGCTGTGAGAGTCCAATATGAATACTGCTGGGAGAGTCCAATGTGAGTACTGCTGGGAGAGTCAAATCTGAATACTGCTGGGAGAGTCCAATGTGAGTACTGCTGGGAGAGTCAAATCTGAATACTGCTGGGAGAGTCGAATGTGAATACTGCTGGGAGAGTCCAATGTGAATATTAATGGGAGAGTCCAATGTAAATATTAGTGGGAGAGTCCAATGTGAATACTGGACGATGTTTTCTCAGGAGATACTAATGATAAGGTGATACGGGAGTACTGATGTCTTATGAGCTGTGACAATATAAGAGAGCAGGACAAAGCTGGACTGAAGACCTTCATCTTCTTCCCCCAACGCATTGGCAGCTACATGCTGTTCTCTGTGATGTTTTCGTGATCATCTCTGGTGTTTGTTCACCAGATGCTGACTGGACACATGAAGTGTGTTTCTCAGAGAACCCCGACCAGCTGCTCCCACTGGCGTTAAAACATCAGCTAGACTGAAAACCAGTGGCCGCCTGCTTTTAGGTGGGGGCCCAGACCTCCATTTCCGGAACACAGGATATCAGCATGGCCCGGGGGCGACGCCAGAGGGGGGGCAGCATGCCGCATGCCATGACGCACTGCAGTGGAATCCTGTCAGGCCCGTATCACCACACCACCTATCTGTGTAAACAAACCACACCTTCCTCAAACAGTGCTGGATGACGGACGCCACACTGTTTCTATTAATAATCTGCTACATGCACGTATATGTCCGCCTCCCCAATGATTAAATTCAGCCACGTGACAAGATTCCAAACACAAGTACTGAAAAACAACCTAACACAGAAAAGCATTGCTGCATCCCTACTTTCAAAGGCTCAGGGTTCATAGGTCACATGACCTTAATTACTCACCAGGCAGGTACTGAACTAGACACAGAGGTATGGAGGTTGGTCTCCAAAGAGTATTTTTAGGAAAACAGACTGCAGGGCACTGATGTGAGACAAATACCAGAGTCTTAGGAGAATAGAAAGTGATTTTTCAGAGATATGAATATGCCAGGTCAAGGATGTCAGTCTAGTCAGTATTGTGTAGACTTTAGCAGCACCTTCCAGTAAAGCTAATTAAGACGCTCACCTCACTGGTACGGAAATGCTGCAACCCAGGGGTTTTCAACAATTCCTAAACCAGAGCAGCCCCCACTACTAAAGCATTATTACATAAATGACTAAGAAATGGGTTGGGGCTTTAATATTACCTTCTCCGGGGGGGTTGTCCACTGTGAACATTTTTGCGCTATTAAAAGCAGATGATAATATTAACATTTTCTCAATTTACAATGGCTCTCTAGAAAGCCCACAAGGGGGCACTGGGCCTTGGTTTAGAGCCCCTGGTAAATAGGACGCTGTGGGCTCTTTGGGTAGCCAGATGCACTGCTACAACATTCTGTACTTTCTGTATTTGAAATGCAATTTTCTATTTTCCATTCCAAAAAACAAACAAATGAGTTGAACTCTGCAGAATGACAGCTGCCTGTTATCGCTCAGGCATTAAAATATCTACTTGTTCTCACCTTGCAGTATCTCGAGTGGGTTAATTCTGTCAGTTTCAGAAATGGTGTTTATTTTATGTGCTTGTTTCCTTCCTTGTGACCCAAAAGAATTTCAGTCTCTGCTCTGCAATTGTTCCTAAGCAACACATTTATTTTTAAAAATTCTCAGCTACGTTTTTTTTTTTTTTTTTTAACACTGAGAAGTCAAGTCGATAAACCTTTCCAGTTTATGGTTAAAGGCTTTCACAAATGTGAAAGACAGACTTTTAAATTCTGCTGATTGTTATACGAGAAATTATCAGAAATAAGAGACACCCCCCCCCTCCGAGAAACCCCATTCTTCCCCAAAACACATTGCAATGGAAAACGAATGAACGATCCAAGGCATATTGGTTAATGCATCATGCAACTTAGTCATAATTGCAAAAAGAAAAATCATTCCTTCGTAAGTCAGACAAAGTTTTCAATGTTTTCTTGTCATGTTATTTATTCTCTACCCGCAATTTAGAATGTATTAGGAACTATTCAGCTACCATGATTTTGTTTTTTGTTCAAATCTACGTAAGTTAAGTGATGAGTAAAGGACAGCAGCTTGCAATGCACCTTGAAGTACACAAATGATCATATTTTCCTTTAAGTTGTTGAAGTTGTCGGTTTTAATTGATGACATCCTAGATGAATTCAGGCCCCAAACTGGACTATAAGCACAAAGTCAGTGCTTGTACAATCCAGCTGCCTGTGGTCCATCTGCAATCCTGAACTTCCCTTTCTTATTTGTTTGCACACAGATTTGCTGGGAACTTTATCACATACAATCAGTGATTGCACAGACTCACCCCACCTTCCCCTGCTTGCCAGTTTTAAGACTGACTTAGTTTCTAATATGCCCTAAGTGGCAATGATTACCTACAATTCTTATCAGCAGTCAATAACATGCTGTAACATAATATGTAACAAATCATACTTGTGCAATCAGGTACAACATAACACTGTGCAGAGGTTAAATACCCTGAGAATAACACTAGACCATTATTTTTGACATCAATTTCATACCATTGTGAGCAACGGAGGTGACGTCACAGCCCACATGCCTGGCAAGTTGAACAGGCAGGTATGCATTTCTGGCTGACTGCGTAAACTATGTCTGAAAAACACGAAATGCTGCGTAAGACAGCTGTCGTTATTCTTGCCCGAAGGGTAAACATGAGCCTGATGATGTAGCAAGTACTCTGGTGGCATCAGGACACATATGCAGGCGTCACCCTCGATCACAGAGCCGGGCAAGGCCGTCACCTGGACACCTGGAGCTGTCAGCGTGACCATATGGGCACAGTGTTGGGGTGCGTTTGCCAGGTGCTGTCACAGAGTGGGGGTTTGAGGAGGCTATGGGCTGGGTGCAGTCTGTGAACTCAGTCCCCAACAAAGCACTGCTTCTGTGTAGAGAAGCACCATCTGACGATCATGAACCCATCCGAAGAAACTCCTGGCTGGACTAGGATGGTGAAGTCACTACCACGGACATCTGATGTGCTATAATAACTTTCCTCAAGCAACGACAACTTAACTAGAAACCTGTTGTCATCAGATATCTAGCAGCTTAACTAGTGGCCTGCCACCAGCCTGACTGGTCAGTAAAGCTGGGGACTCCATGTGACCCGCAGTTCTGAAGTTGATCCGGACCACATGCAAAGACATGGACCCCGTTGCCTGAAACAGCCACTCATCCTCCATAAACAACGTGTGCCAAAGACACATTTGGGGTGTGAAGTGTCCGCATGTCACAGCAGAAGCAGATCCCTTCCAAGACTCAGTTCTTCACTATACTGTACACCCCTTCAATATCTCTGCACCTCAGAGCACTTGAAACAGGATGGGATATTCTAGCATGGGGGTACAATTCCGATCATCAGACCAGCGACATTTCATGTGAGGCATTGAGCTACATTCTTTGATACTGCACTGGAAAAACCAAATCATACACCACCCATGTTCATTTGGGACTTTCAAAGAGTGAGACAACAGAGTAAAACACAGCAAGAGAGAACCCTGAAGTGAACTTATGTAAACCTGCTGAGCATTTTCTGGGTTGGAAAACTCAGGTGAGACAGACACACAAAACAGTGACATGTTCAACAGTGTGAGCAGCTCCTGTCTGCACAGTACCTGCTATAAATGAGACACGGGGTGTTATTGAGCTCTTTGTCTGCTTGGTACCTCCGGAAATCCTCCCAGGCATCCTTCACGGCGGTGATGGAGAGGATGATGCAGATGGGGATGAGAGCCACACCCGGCTCGAAAGCATTGACGATCGGCACAAAATTCAGAGCAGCGATTGCCACAAAGTAGATGTTGGCGATGCGATGGAACTGCTCAAAGAGATTCATGGGGATGAAGGACCACAGGGTGTACTTGTTGGTCTTGATGCTGTTGTCTGCATATCTCCTGTTGGGCTGTGCCTTCCTCCCAAGGTCCTCAAAGGGCAGATTGGACTCCAAAGTCCTCACTGTCTCCTCTCCTTCCGTCTTCCCCCTCCAGCCCGGGATGACCCGGGTCAAAAGATCCCTCAGCCACATGGCTGCTCACCCAGTGTCTTCAACAGGAAATCTCTTCCACAGCTCACATTTGATACTGTGATGGCCCCTCATAAGGTTTGAAGAAGTACTCAAAGGTGTCGCTCATAGGCAGCTCTTTCAGGAAGGAATGACTGTACGCCGATTCTGTCAGCTGCATGACTGAAATGCTCAGGCAGGTAATCGGCCAATTAGCACACCTGCCTTACCAGGCCAAACCCCTGGGTCCTAAGTCCTGCCCCAGGGCAGAAACAACAAGCTGACACAGTGGCAAACATAAAAATACTATCATGCTATACTATTTTTTTTTTCAAAAAAAATCTTTATATTCTTTCAATCTTCATTTTAATCTACTGCATTGTCATTTGTTTTTTAATCATACCAATTTTTACTGGATATGATTAATTTACCAGAGAGCTACATGAAGTGTAACATTCCTTAACCCTCTTTAAAAAATTGCTGTGTCATATATTTTCAGGAAGTAAAACTCAAAAACTTGATAAGACTAAACTTCAAGCTGAACTTCAAGCAGAAGTAAGAATCATAAAACCAACTTCAATATGACTTACAGCCGCGTAGAAGTACATATGTATATTATTTGGGTGTATACGATTTACTATAGGAAAAAATCTGATTTATACTGCACAAATGGTTGCTGAAAATATACTTATTAGGTGAAGTCATACTATAAAATATGAGTTTTACCCTGAAAATGTAAATAATATATAACAAAAATAATTTAAATTATAGCTTGAACAGTTTAATGCTGATTTTATTTATTTATATGTTTTATTTGATTAAGCTGGTCATTACTGGTCTTTACTGCAGATTTCTCTGCACTCACATTGTGACAGGTTCATGCATCAAGTAGCCTGAAGCACCGGGGACACGTTTCACTTTCAGAAAGATTTAATTGAACTCTTTGATGATTATCAACCTGCTGCCATTTCTGACAAACCACATTCCTTAGTGAGACAAACACTCAGCAAACAATGGTCGACTTCACCGACAGGATTTTTAAAAAACATGTCTTAAAAACATTCAACAATATTACATTTGGCATTGTCTGAATGACGTCTTATTTGAATGACGCCATTCAACGACAAGAAAGCGACCTACCAGTCGTAGACTGAGGCTGCTCTGTAGTTTACGATCCTGTCAAACTTGTATCTTCTGAAATCTTCCAGGGCATCTTTTAATGATGAAGCCACAGTGACGATCACTAGGGGCAGCATTGTGATCTCCCTGTGGAACACCTCCATTTGCGGAAACCAGTTTATGGCAACAAGGAAAACAAAATAAATGTTGGCGAGCCTGCAGACACAAAAACAGCCCATGGTAAGTAAATGCAAAACAGTCTTTAAAAGGTCAGAAGTAAAGATTATGTTTACTTCTGAGTGGTGACATTACTCAGAATAATGTCCTCACAGGATAAGAAACCTCACTCACAGAACAGCAGCTTTTGTTAAGCATCTTAAAAGAAAAAACTTCCATGCACCGTTGTGACACTTTATCAACAGCACAGAAATTCTGTATTTTAAAATGGTTTTGTCAAGCCTGAGCTCAAACCCACTGAAAAGCTTTGGCATGATCAGTAGCAGCTTGTTTCAAATTTTAGCAAATCCAGATCATTCACAAACTAAATATCTCCTATGTTTTAGTGGTGGCTTAAGGAATCACATATTGCATTGAAGTGACAGATAAAATTAATATCCATAATAACAGGTAAGGAACATGCAGTGTTATGTGTTTCTGTGTAAAGAGGATAGACAGCATTATATACACAGACACACACACACACACACACACACACACACGTCGGGTATACCTATCCTTATGGGGCCCGCTTGTTCACTTCTATGGGAAAAATGCTAACGCTAATTATGACAAACTTAACCCCCACCCTGCCCTAACCATAACCATAAGTAACCAAGCAAAATAAAAAGAGTTTTTGCATTTTTAGTTTTTTCATTGCAGTCACCGATTTTTATAAAATAGAATTTCCCCTTATGGGGACCAGGAAACTGGAAAAAAACGAATATTTATCAAGTTATGGGGACATTGTGTCCCCATAAGGATAGTTATACCCGCTCACACACACACACACACACACACACACACAAAGTGAAGACAACACAGAGGGAGGATCACGTTTACTTTCACTTGATTACATTTTCACTTGGTCACATCTGAGCACGATGAGCCCACTCACCTGTAGAGCTGCTGAAACAGGTTTTTTGGCAGGAAGCTGAGGAAAGTGTACTTTGTGGTCCTGATTTTATTCCCAGCATATCTGTCCATGACTTTCTTATGGCTGGGGGAAAGTGGCCCGTTGTTTGGGAAGACATGGTGGAGAGCAGCAGGCAGTGGGATTTCGGGGTCCTGGGGAGGGGCTCTGAGAAGCGGCGTGGTCTCCGAGTCCCCTGTGTTCTCACGTCTCCGAAAGCAGCAGCTCAGTCTGTCTATGGAGTGTGTCATCCTTCCTTAAGGAGACACGAAAGGGGGAATTGAGAAAAGCAGCAGGAGGAAAGTTCTAGTAAAAGGATTATGATTTCTGGCAGAGAAGGAACGGCCAGTCCACACAGGAGTGGAATGTGTAGGACACAACTATAGGTTATGCTCCAAGAGTAAGATGTGAAAGGAAATGCTATTGGTCAGTGCCGTTTATGGAAAATCAAAGGTGGTGCTGTGGTAACAAAAATCATAATTATCAATGAGAAGTAACGGAACACCTTATGAGTTCAGGCTTCACTAATATTACCACATAAGATTCTAAACCGTATAGGTATATCGTATTAGTGAACTGGTGTGTACCATTAGAAAACATGCTGTCATCTTCGAAGATGACAAGGTGGACAGAGATCTTTATTAATAATTAACCACAATTACGCTAAGGATGTCTAAACTGTAATGGCATTTTGAACTCATATACTACATATTGTGCTGGAATAAAAAATTAAAAAAAACAATTTATTGCTAACCCCTTTAAAATTAGTGTAATACTTTAAATCAGCAATAACTTTTTGTGTTGCAGTTTCACCAAAATCTTGCTCACAAATGTAAACCTTCATTGCAACTTCCTTGGGTGTAGATTGAGTGCTCATGCAGCTACAGTATAAGCAGACAGTGCCTTTTCTTTTTGACCCCTTAATTACAGGGGCCACATTCTGACATAGCGGCATATATTCATTTGCCTCAAAAAGCTGCTGTTTTCTCTAACTATTGTTCTACTTGTGGTATGAATTAATCCCCACTGACTTGGTCGTATTTCATCTGAAGAAGCTCTACATGGGTCTTCTTGCTAAATCTTTATTGCCTGTGACACCACCTGAATTGGTACCATCTGCAAATTTAACAAGGTTGTTAAGTCTCCCAAATACAGCCATTTACACAGATTGCAATAACAGCCATGAAACACAACCCACACATATAGTAAAAGGCATTAACCTGTTACAAGACCAGATATGAATCAGTCAAATCCACAAGTAAAACCTATGACTGCAAATTATGTTTCTGTTCATGTTTATTACGCTGTTAATGTGATTTGTTGAAATGACTCATTGCTGTACCAAAACAAAGTCCCCCTGGAGAATACCTACAGTGTCCAACAGAACCAAAGTGGGTTTACATTTTTTGTTTTGCTAATATGGTGCTTCATGCCGGAAATATGTTCCACTTAGGCCTTAGTTATCAGTGCTATCTGATGAATCAGACATGAAGGCGTCTCCGTGAGAAGAGCCTGGTAAGTTGATGGCCTCAGCGTAATCTCAGCCGCATAATTCTGTTTCGGCTCGTGATTAAAGGCTATATGCAGAGTCTCCCAGCACAGTGGAAAGTGAAAGTTTGGACGCATATTGTGTTTCAAGCTACACTTAGAATTTCAGAGCAGCCATTTTCGAGAATGGAATGTCGCCATTGGCATTCTGCAGAGAGCCAATCAGATGGGCAAATTTCCCAAAGTGACACCAATCGCACTGAATCCCTCCTCTTCTTTTCCTATCAAACCTACTAAAAGATGCTCATTTACTCCTTTTGGGTGGTAATAATGGAAAGCTGACGGATGCTTCAAATCCGCACGCTGCGGGTTGCGGAGCTGCCCATTCATTTGTCTTTGGGAGCTGAAGCTCATATTTAAATGTGTGTCATATTTCCGGTCAAAGGGAAGAATATGAAATAAAAAGTCACACTGGGGAAAATATATCAAATGAATGCAGAGGTAGGGCTATATTATATCAAAATAGTGACATCAGGGGTTGCTGGGAAAAATGAATCAATGTAATTAATTCCTCTGGATGCTTCGCTATGGCTTTTAATGGATTTCCATATGAAAATCTGGCCCCTCCCAAAGTTCATCCTGGAGTCGCCTTACTGCCTTCCTCCAGTTCTCAAACCCTTTGATTGTTACGTTGTTGCACCCATGAATGGACAAACAGCAGCTGCACACACATTCACACAAACTCTCTCTCCTTCAATGTCACATTTTGCAGCAGTATACCCTTGTATATTTGTACCCATTACACACAAAGTGTTGTGCTAATTGTTTTTTATCTTATTGATTTTTCTATATTTTTATGTCAGGTATATTTGTATTAAATTCCGAATATTTTTAGATCGTAATTTCTCTAATTTTGTGTGGCACAATCAGGGAACCTGTCAGAAAAAGCATTGCAGTATGTTGTACAAGTACAACTACATGTGACAGATAGAAACTTTGACTTTAATTCCAAATTAGGGGCCAGTGAATTAAGAGTGGGGCGTGAGTCATGCTAATATCCTACCAGCTACCTAACAATTAATACTGCCGGCTCATTAAGTGCTCATCAGCCACTCGAGCTGCATATAACATACAACGAAATGATAAAATAAATCAAGGTGAGTTACTGCCAGGGAAAAATCCTAAAACTACAACTTATAGCCTACAGAGAACAGGAAGGAGATCAAGCCATCTCAGTGACTAATCAGGCTCTTCTGAGATTGCTGATTTCATTAATTCCGGAAGGATTCTAGACAAACAGCCAATTTGCAGCTTTAACAGCAGTGACGTCTCTGGTAATGTGGGGAAGTATGGATGCCCAGCATGGATAAAATGCACCTTTAAACTGACCCATCTTCCTCAACAGATTCCCTGAGAGGGCAGGCTGCGGCTC